ATAAAAGATGTGAGAACATCTTATTTTGCTGATTTGATTAACGACAAACACAATCCAAGGTTATTGTTTGACGCCATCAGCAGACTCGTCAGTCTGCTGTTCACGTCCTGTTCTTTGACTTTAAACCAGTTTCCTCGACAGATCTTCTCAATATAGTCTCACACATGGACGCTGTCATCCTGCCCAGCAGTCATTATCCCTCCTAAATTCATCAAAGGCGTTATGCCTCATCTCCCTCAGATTCTTTCTATTATGAATCAATCCTTTTTATCTGGCTGCCTTCCAGATTACAGCTAGCATCTTTGCTCTGCTGTAAAACCCTACTTAGATCCCACTGTTTCAGATACTCACAGGACAATTTCCAAACTCACATTTATTTCTGAAATCCTTGAGAAAGTCTGTCAGGTCGTTTATCGTTTAAATTCCAGTCCGGTTAGAGATAAACCCACAGCACTGAACCAGCTTTATTGACTAAGGGTATTCTAATACAATCAGATAAAGCTGAGCTTTCTATTTTAGTCCCGCTCGACTTATCTGATCCCCTGCTGATCTCAGTAGGCGCCCCCATTCCCTGGGCCTGGACCCCCACCAAGGGCAGGGGGTCCAGGCCCATGCAGACCGGGACCCACAGCAGTAGCACCACCAAGCCCCACAGAGCCCGGGGCTCTACTCCCACCCCATCATCCAATTATCTTCCGGACTACATACAGTGGGGCAAAAAAGTATTTAGTCAGCCACCGATTGTGCAAGTTCCCCCACTTTAAATGATGACAGAGGTCAGTAATTTGCACCAGAGGTACACTTCAACTGTGAGAGACAGAATGTGAAAAAAAAATCCATGAATCCACATGGTAGGATTTGTAAAGAATTTATTCGTAAATCAGGGTGGAAAATAAGTATTTGGTCACCTCAAACAAGGAAAATCTTTTGCTCTCACAGACCTGTAACGTCTTCTGTAAGAAGCTTTTCTGTCCCCCACTCGTTACCTGTATGAATGGCACCTGTTTGAACTCATCATCTGTATAAAAGACACCTGTCTGTCCACAGCCTCAAACAGTCAGACTCCAAAATCCGCCATGGCCAAGACCAAAGAGCTTTCGAAGGACACCAGGAAAAGTATTGTAGACCTGCACCAGACTGGGAAGAGTGAATCTACAATAGGCAAGCAGCTTGGTGTGAAAAAATCAACTGTGGGAGCAATCATCAGAAAATGGAAGACATACAAGACCACTGATAATCTCCCTCGATCTGGGGCTCCACGCAAGATCTCATCCCGTGGGGTCAAAATGATCATGAGAACGGTGAGCAAAGATCCCAGAACCACACGGGGGGACCTGGTGAATGACCTGCAGAGAGCTGGGACCAAAGTAACAAAGGTCACCATCAGTAACACACTACAACGGCAGGGAATCAAATCCTGCAGTGCCAGACGTGTTCCGCTGCTGAAGCCAGTGCATGTCCAGGCCCGTCTGAAGTTTGCCAGAGAGCACATGGATGATACAGCAGAGGATTGGGAGAATGTCATGTGGTCAGATGAAACCAAAGTAGAACTTTTTGGTATAAACTCAACTCGTCGTGTTTGGAGGAAGAAGAATACTGAGTTGCATCCCAAGAACACCATACCTACTGTGAAGCATGGGGGTGGAAACATCATGCTATGGGGCTGTTTTTCTGCCAAGGGGCCAGGACAACTGATCCGTGTTAAGGACAGAATGAATGGGGCCATGTATCGTGAGATTTTGAGCCAAAACCTCCTTCCATCAGTGAGAACTTTGAAGATGAAACGAGGCTGGGTCTTCCAACATGACAATGATCCAAAACACACCGCCCAGGCAACAAAGGAGTGGCTCCGTAAGAAGCATTTGAAAGTCCTGGAGTGGCCCAGCCAGTCTCCAGACCTCAACCCCATAGAAAATCTGTGGCGGGAGTTGAAAGTCCGTGTTGCTCGGCGACAGCCCCAAAACATCACTGCTCTCGAGAAGATCTGCATGGAGGAATGGGCCAAAATACCAGCTACTGTGTGTGCAAACCTGGTAAAGACCTATAGTAAACGTTTGACCTCTGTTATTGCCAACAAAGGTTATGTTACAAAGTATTGAGTTGTATTTTTGTTATTGACCAAATACTTATTTTCCACCCTGATTTACAAATAAATTCTTTACAAATCCTACCATGTGGATTCATGGATTTTTTTTTTTCACATTCTGTCTCTCACAGTTGAAGTGTACCTCTGGTGCAAATTACTGACCTCTGTCATCATTTTAGGTGGGGGAACTTGCACAATCGGTGGCTGACTAAATACTTTTTTGCCCCACTGTAAGACAATAGACACCTAGGTTGAGTTCATTCTCCACCTCTCCTATATCTCTCCCTCACCTGCAGAGTGAACTCCTGAAGAACAGAGACCTGCAAGGATGTAACAACCTCCCCGCCATTTGAAGGGACCCTCAGTTCTGCAAATGCACCAGAGGCCCCCCCATGCCAGGGCTGGGCCCCCATGCACACACCCATCCACAACCTCGGTGACACACCACCATCAGGACCCAAGCCCCTGAGGCCCAGCCAGAGCCCCAAGCCCCCAAACCTGACTACCAGTCCAGTAACCCATGTCCGCCAGCACAGACTCTCCCCAAGCTCTGCTGCAGTGTAAGTTCTCATCACTCGTATGTAGAGTCCCACAGGGCTCAGTCCCTGGACCAGTTCTGTTTTCTTTACATACATTACCCCTGGGTCACCTGTCTAATGGTTTTAATGGAATCTCCTACCACAGCTATACAGATGACACACAGCTATACTTTTCTGTAAAGCCCAGCAACCTCGACAGCGTCTCCTGACTCAACAAATGCTTCTTTGCCATTACTGAGTGTATATATTCAAATTTCCTCCATCTCAGTTCCAGTAAAACTGAGGTTCTAGTGCTCGGCCCAGACAGCTTCTCTAAGGAGGTTAGCCATTGCTTTGCCCCCTTGCCAATAACATGAAATCATATGCTAAAAACTTTGGAATCATCTTTGACTAACTTTTACTCTCACACCTCAGAGCTCATCCAGTCTTTTTTCCTTCACCTCAGAAATATTGAAAAAATTGCACCTTTACTGTCATTCAATCATCTGGAAGCTGTAGTTCACACTTTTCTCTCACCTTGATCATTTTTGATCGAAATATCTGTAGAAGCTGGCGAAGGCATGCCTTCACCAGCTTCTACAGATATTTCAGAATTCATGTTGCACAATTCATATTAATTTAAAATCTACTTTAAAATTCTGTTACCAACATATAAATGTCAACACGGACTCGCCCCTGCTTATCCAGCAGTCTCTGAAACCTTGTCACGGCAGCTGGCCTCTGACCCTCTAACCAGGGTCTCTTAACTGATTTTAAAACCAGAGAAGATTGTGCTTTTGTGGTTTTTGCAATCAGGATCACTGTTTTTCATTTTCTTTATACGCCTGCTAAAAACTCATTTTTATAGGTTAGCTGTGCCTTAATCTTTTCCACTTAATTTTCACCCATAGTTTGCAACCCTGCATAAATGCATGTGTGTATGTTGAAATATGTATATTTATCTTTAATGTGTGGCATTTACTGAAACTGTGAAGCACTCTGCAACTCTGTGTTTTGAAAAGTGCTACACAAATGCAACAGTTAACAGACTGGTGTAGAGTCAACTGTCTTTGAACGTGGACAAAACAAAAGAGATGATTGTCGACTTCAAGAGAGCACGGAGAGATCACTGTCCACTGAACATCGATGGATCCTCTGTGGAGGTCGTCAAGAGCACCAAATTCCTTGGCGTTCACCTGGTGGAAAACCTCTCCTGGTCCCTCAACACCAGCTCCATAACTAAAAAAGCCCAGCAGCATCTCTAATTCCTGCAGAAACTGAGAAAAGCCCATCTCCCACCATCCATTCTCACCACTTTCTACAGAGGGACTATCAAGAGCATCCTGAGCAGCTGCATCACTGTTTGGTACGGTAACTGCACCGTATTGGATTGCAATATCCTACAATGGATCGTGAGAACAGCTGAGAAGATCATTGGAGCCTCTCTTCCCTCCATCACAGACACCTATCGCACCCAATGCATCAGCAAAACCATCAGCATTGTGGAGGAACCTACACACCCCTCACACACACTCTTCACCCTGCTGCCTTCTGGCAAGAGGTACCAGAGCATTCGGGCCTTCACTGCCAGACTTTGAAACAGTTTCTTCCCCCAAGCCGTCAGACTCCTGAACACTCAGTGACTGGACTGACACACACAGGTATACCTTCATACATCAAGTTACTTTTGCAAAATGCTCAGTCATTTTGCACAACCCACTGTCATTGTTTTGCTTTTCTACTGTGCTGTCTTGTGTCTGTATTGCTGTGCTTTGTCTGGTGTTGCACTGTTTTTCTTTTATTCTTTTGCAATTGTTCTGCAATTTTTGCACACTTGCACTGTATGTAGTCCTGTCTTTATTGTCTGTTATATTTAGCACCAAAGTCTTGGAGGAACACTGTCTCGCTTCACTGTGTACTGTACCACTGTACATGGTTGGAATGACAATAAAGCCACTTGATTTGACTTGAAGGAGGTTGGTCCAGACGACACTTGTGCAGGTATGGGGAGGTCTGGGAGAGAGGGTGGTGGACTTTTTAATAGTCTGTTTAAAAAGTACAGCACAATGCTGGAAATTGAGCGGATGATGGAAATGAAGAAGACGTGTACCAGTTCTGAGTTTCGAGAACATGGTGATGTGCAGAGCTGAAGGAAGTACAGCGTGATGAAAACACGGGAACCAGGTGTGTAAGTTAGGTTAAGCAGAGGTGAAGAAGAGAGTGCAGGCTGGGTGGAGATGGGGGTCGGGGGTGATGTGTGATGAAGACGCGTTGGAAGTGAAAAACACACTGGGCTTAGAGTGCGGGTGTTTTATTTTAAGTCATTTTAAACTAACAGGAAACTGCTGTCATGTGTGCTTTTATCGTAGCAGCCGAGAGCGGAAGCGGCGAGCTGGCTTTGGCACGCTTGACGGGCGGTGGACTGCGATTGGCTGCCTTGTCTCCGTGCCTCCTGCTGTTGTTCTGATCAGATCAAGATGGCTGCTGTTGTCGGGGATGGAGAGTGAGCTCAGGCTGACATCCGAACACAGGCCGAGGACACGCGCACCGACCCGCTGATCTACGGGAGCCAAACCCCGGACCCGGACCGCCCGAACTCACTCTGATTCTCCGTTGAAGGTAGAGGGGCTCTGCTCCCGTCGCTCTCTCTGCAGCATCCTCCCTGCCATCGATCGCTGTTTGATTGACACGTCGCCGGATCGGTCAGAAAAATCAGATTAGGGTGATTCGGTTTGATTTCCGCCCCGACGGTAAAACATAAAATCTGAGTGCTACCGGTGTAATATGGGGCTTTTTGCTGGTTGGTTCGGGGGTGGTGGGAGGGGTGGGGGCTCCGGGCGGTGAATGGGTGAAGGTTATCCCGGTTACCGCGGGAGATAACGGCGCTGTTAAGGTGACATGGCGGCGGTGTTTCACCGGTAATGAGTCCGAGAGTCCGCTGCCCTCACCGGGACCAGCCGGGCCGGTCAGATACACCACTGCACGGAAACATGGCGGTTTCTTCATTTACAGTGTGGTTGTTATTATTAACACTGGACCCGAGAGAGTCAACATAATAACATAAATCATTAAATGACGTCATCAGGTACCTACTTATTCAGCTTACAATAAAACCTGATCAATCAATATAACTACAGACAAAAAAAAACTCCGCAGTTAATCGATCATTATTATTGTGACTGGATTAAAATTGTCTGATTTATCTACATGTATTTATTTATCTATTATTTATTTGTTGCTGGTCCTGAGCTGTAAACAGTGGGATTATCGAAGACGTCACTGTTAGCACATTAATGAATTCTGTGACATATTGGAGCTGCTCCTCAGACACAGTTATTGTCTGCTCTTCAGTATGAATCCATAAAGATTTCAGTATCTGTGACTCTGCTCATGCCGGCATCTCAATCTTTGTTCTGGGACTTTGAAGCAGCTCTGACCTTTTTCTGACTCTTCTGTGTGACCTCTGGCCTCTAGACAAACTGTCCAACAAGCTCCAGTTTTAAAATTTTATTTGGATGTTACAGATTAGCAGATCTGTGCCGTGCCCCTCAGTAGGCTTCCAGAAGCCAGCGAATGAGGAGAAATGGGTTTTAGTGTAAAAGAGGATGAGTTGAGGTGTAAAAGTGAGGATCCACGACTGGAGAAATCCTGGAACATATTCACCTGGGTTGTTTTTATCCCTTGGCTCCTGGCAGAAAGCTGTGGGCGTGTTTGTGGCTGATTAGAGGGAAACGCTCGCTCATGTGGACAGACCTCAGGCTGTCTGTTCATGGCGGTTTGTCCGTTAGATGATGACTTCCTGTTTTATCAGGCATAGAGCAGAGCCGCCAGCAGATCTCAGGTCAGCTTGTTTCAAAGGAAACTGTCTTCAGACACTGGCTGATGTCTGCACCACAGAAATGTCACAGAGATTTAAACAGGCTGCAGCTGCCTCTCACTAAACCTGCCAGCGCCTCCTGCAGGCTGCTCAGCTCCCGAAAACCAGGAGAAAAACTGACACTTCAGTGTGATTATTGACAAACAGGAAGTACTCAAGTACAGCTAATTGCTTTTATCAGTAATTAAGATCTTCTTTGTCTCATAAACTCAAACAACAACATGCAGAAACACGTCTTTGTCCTTTAAACAGAATTCAAATAAAAACTAATGATGAGGGAATGAGGCGGTGGTGGTGGTGGTGGAGTGGGGGAGCTACGGGGGCAGCTTGATTTATACCACAGGACGGCATGTTTCTGCAGCAGGTTCAAAGGTCACTGTTTGGCTGCAGTTAGAGGAGCAACAGCTGAGTGAATCTAAGAGTTTCATCTCAGAAGTTCAGCTCAGTTTTACCCAGCAGGCCAAGCATTTCACTGCCGTGTTTGTTGTGTCAGCAGGGGGCGCCGTGAGAGACCGCAGACATGGACACTACCACGTCCATCAAGATGACCACGTTGGCCATCCAGAACCTGTTCAGCTACGTGGAGGAGGAGAACCTGTCCGCCCTGAAGGCTCACCTGGATCGCTTCAAGGAAGTGGATGGACGCAGTGACGTATGTAATTGCGCTGTGATGGTGGCAGCGCTCGCTTCACAGTCAGAAGACATTTTAGAGCATTTGAGCACAGATATCCCTCCTTTAACTGTATTTAATGACATTCATGTTCAGTGTCATTGTTTGTACTGTAGTTTTTCTTTGAATTCAGTTCATTAATGCTGTTGTATTATATTATTTTCATTTCTGGTCACTTTTTATTTGACTTTTATTCTTTAGTGATTTTTACCTTAGTGCTTGTTTTATTTTTCTGGTTTGTTTACCTGTTTGTTTGTGTACTTGCCTATGTGTGCAGAATGGTCAGACTCCTCTGATGCTGGCGGCCGAGCAGGGCAGTCTGGAGATCGTCCAGGAGCTCATCAGGAGAGGAGCCAATGTCAACCTGGATGATGTGGTGAGCGAAACGAGTGCTCTGTCACCAATGAGGAAAAAAAACCCTCCCCCATCCTCCGGTGCTATGGTTGCTAGGAGACAGGTGGGCAAGTTGGCCGGCTCCTGTTTCCATGGTAACCTTGTCTGTGTGTATTTTAGGACTGCTGGTCGGCTCTGATCTCCGCAGCCAAGGAGGGTCACGTGGAGGTGGTGAAGGAGCTGCTGGAGAACAGCGCCTACATCGAGCACAGGGATATGGTGGGAGCAAAGCCTCATGGGAAATGTCGTGCAGAGAATGGAGTAGCTAAACCGAGGGTTAACGTGTGTATGTGTGTCCCAGGGCGGCTGGACAGCTCTCACATGGGCTGCTTATAAAGGTCGCGTGGAGGTTGCAAAACTGCTGCTGGAACACGGGGCCAACCCCAACACTACAGGACAGGTAACACACAGACAACACAGGTAACACACACGGACGAGAGAATTGATTTTGGCAGGAAGATTTTGTTGTGTTTTGGATGGTTTCAGTCCACAGTGTTTCAGTGATGGTGCTGACATGTCCTCCTGTGCCCCTCGCAGCAGTACAGTGTGTATCCGATCATCTGGGCCGCAGGTCGAGGACATGCTGACATCGTGAAGCTGCTCCTGCAAAATGGAGCCAAAGTCAACTGTTCAGACAAGGTGAGGGGGCGAGAGCCCAACAGAGAGCACACACACCTGCATGACCTGACCTGAAACAGCAAGAAACCACAGGAAACAGTGCAACACAACATCCGACTGACATCAAATAAATTAATCTCTGTGGGCTCGAGTGAATCGAGAGTAAGAAAGTAAAAACACCTGCACAGGAAACGTCCTGCAAAATAACACCAATACAACAATAAGTAGCATGATGGACAACAACAGGAAGTGACACAACACAGGAGCACACACCAAACACTATGCCATATTTCACAATAAAGCAGCTCAGAGAGGTGTGTGTGTTTCGTGTGTGTGTTACAGTACGGGACCACCCCTCTGATCTGGGCGGCGAGGAAAGGACACTTTGACTGCGTGATGCACCTGCTGGAGAACGGTGCTGACGTTGACCAGGAGGGGGCGGTACGACCTTAATCACCGTCACCACCTTCATCATCACCATCACTGCCGGCATGCCAGAATAATACGCGCCCACCTCTGTTAACTACTTCCTGTCTGTCCCCAGAACTCGATGACAGCACTGATCGTGGCGGTGAGGGGCGGGTACACGGAGGTGGTGAAGGAGCTGCTGAAGAGGAACCCCAACGTCAACATGACCGACAAGGACGGGAATACGGCACTGATGATCGCCGCCAAGGAGGGCTACACCGAGATCGTCCAGGATCTGCTGGATGCCGGCACCTATGTAAACATCCCTGACCGGGTGAGGCGCCAACAGGCATCGTCACATGACACACGCGGTTTCAATAACAGGGAAACTAAACGGCGTCCTGTGTGTTCCAGAGCGGCGATACGGTACTGATCGGAGCCGTGAGGGGCGGGCACGTGGAGATCGTCAGAGCTCTGCTGCACAAATACGCTGACATCGACATCAGAGGGCAGGTGAGGTTTTGGAGACACATTTCCTTCATCACATTGGAAACAGTGAGTTCATTTCTTAGCTCATTAGATGTTTATGAACATGAAAAATCTTTCCCATTTCCCAATTTCATGCACGCTGCAGTCAGACTAACACAGATGATATTTTATAAATGTGTCATCATTACTTAATTCAGTTGCAGGTTTAGGTTTGATTGTTTTGGCACTTGGTGTCCTCCGCAGTTTTGTCTCTGTTTTGATTTGCTGGTGTCTTCAACATTCTGATGAGAAGGACGACTGCTGTTACTCTGCGAGCATTCAGTAAAGAAGAACTTGAGGATCGGAGCCAATCAGATGCAGCGTAAAGTGATGTTGCTAATGTTATCTCTCTGCTCCACCTCCAGGAGAATAAGACGGCTCTTTACTGGGCCGTGGAGAAAGGAAACGCCACCATGGTGAGAGACATCCTGCAGTGTAACCCCGACACAGAGACCTGCACCAAGGTGAGAGCCCAGCACACCTGAGAACACCTGTCTCAGAGTAGGGGGTGGGGTTCTGTGGTTAACCTGAGTTTTGCTTTCAGGATGGAGAGACTCCGCTGATCAAAGCCACAAAGATGAGGAACATCGAGATCGTGGAGCTACTACTTGACAAAGGAGCAAAGGTGTCTGCTGTGGACAAGGTGAGAGCCAGATAGACTAGGGGTGGCTGTGGCTCAGGTGATAGAGCAGATGACCTACTTATTGGAAGGTTGGTGGTTCGATCCTTGGCTTTCTACATGCCAAATATCCTTGGGCAAGATACTAACCCCAAGTTGCCCTCCGATGCGTTCATCGGAGTGTGTATGTTGGTTAGTTTGCACTTGAGTTTAGAAGTGCTTTTATGAATGGGTGAATGAATGAGGCATGTTGTATACAGCGCTTTGAGTACTCTGGGAGAGTAGAAAAGCGCTATATAAGAATCAGTCCATTTACCATTTACCAATCAGTCCATAGACACAAGCATCACGTGTATCTACCTGCCCTTCAAAGTAAAAGCAGGTTTAAATATTTAGCTTGTTTTTTAGTCTGTAGATTTGTCACAGAGTGAAATGAATGAACAGGTTACAGAGGACCTGATGCTGACACCTGTTTTCACAGAAAGGGGACACTCCTCTCCACATTGCCATCCGGGGGCGGAGCCGGCGCCTGGCCGAGCTCCTCCTCAGGAACCCCAAAGATGGTCGCCTGCTGTACCGCCCCAACAAGGCTGGAGAGACGCCGTACAACGTTGACTGCAGCCACCAGAAAAGCATCCTGACGCAGATTTTTGGAGCACGTACGTCTTTTTCTGTCTCACCTCATAGTGGGCCTGAACTGCACGCAAACGCAGTGTTATGGTTGATGTTTGCTCAGCTTTGAGTCTCTTCGTCACTCCTTCAACCTTTAAATGAACCTGGGCCGATCTCACTGCTGAAACTTAAGAGTGAATCAGGTGAAAGAAGCTGTAATTGGAAAGTATGAAGTAATGAGGCAGCTTTACATGGTGCTTTGTGTTTTTGTAGGCTGCGGCTGCTCAGGGAGCCAGACTGGATATCCTCAGCTTGTTACACATAACTGGATCAGTCTGCAGTCAGAGATCAGAGTGTTATGAAGAAATCAAAGCCTGGCCTCAGTGCACAGCTCACAGTGATAACATCCTCGGCTGAAACCAAACTTCTTAGTTTTTCTCATATTTAAAAGTTGTGAGACTGTTTCACTATGTGGATCATTCTAAACAGTATCCCTTATAAATGTAGACCTCAAAATAATCTGCAAAACTTTCTCAAAAAGATAAGAAGATAACCCCCCTTTTAATTCATCCTGACCAAAACCAGCTTCGTAAAAGGTAGGCACTCATCAACAAACACGCGTAGACTACTTAATTTAATAGACTACTCATGCAGTAAAAACATTGAAACCACAATAATGTCTCTAGATGCTGAAAAAGCGTTTCCAGTTAACTGGAAATTTTTATTTTCAACTTTGCACAAATTTGGTTTTGGAAACTCTTTCATAAACTGGCTAAAATTATTATATAATTCCCCAACAGCTTGCGTCAGAACAAATGACCAAACATCCTCCAGCTTCTGTCTCCTGAGGGGTACCTGGCAGGGATGCCCACTCTCCCCTTCACTGTTTGCAATTTTTATCAAACCACTAGCAGCAGCTGGTAGTTTGGTCCTGCCTTCGCTATTGTGGTTGATGTGGAGGTAGGGATTGGCTTAGGCATCTGGAGAGTCCTTAGGGACATGTCTGTGAAGGTTCTCAGTCATCCAGGTCATCGTAGTTTAAGGAGCTTGGAAAGAAAAGCCTCTGGACTTCTTTAAGTTGGTTGAAAACGTTTCACCTCTCATCGGAGAAGCTTCTTCAGTTCTAGGGTCAAAAGGTGGAGAGTCCCAGATTTAAGCCCTGTGGGAGTGACCCCCCCAAGGGGGACAATGGACCCCCTAATGATCCTCTACCTAATCACATGAGCCAATGTGTGAAAACGGATGTAGGTCACAATCAGCCAGAGTTTCGGGTGAGCTCATTGTGAAACCTAGCCCCACCCCATTAAGTGATTTCCTGAGGTCACATGGCCTGGGATGTGAGTGGGCGTTAAGGCGTCTGGGAAGGGATCTCAAAACTGGATTATAGATGGCAGAGAGTTGGTGTTGTAAACCACCGCCTCTGTTCAAAGATGGTCGCTCACAGTGGACATAGATGGCTTCTTTCACTCCTCTTTCAAACCATCTGTCCTCTCTGTCCAAAATGTGAACATTGGCATCCTCGAAAGAGTGTCCTTTATCCTTAAGGTGCAGATGGACTGCTGAGTCTTGTCCTGTGGAGGTGGCTCTTCTGTGTTGTGCCATGCGCTTGTGAAGTGGCTGTTTGGTCTCTCCAACGTAGAGGTCTTGGCATTCCTCTCTTACTTAGGGACATTTTCCCTGGAGGGCTTAACCCGGGGGTTGTGGTCATGAAATGGTTAGGGGGTGTGGTGGCTCTTAGATGGTGTTTCCCTCGTGACTGCGTGCTGCAGGGCTGGGGGAGGGTCTGTGCTGGCAGACGTAGGTTACTGGCCTGGTAGCCTGGCTGCCCTGGGTGGGTCTGGGGCAGGCGTGGGGGCTTGGGGTTCTGGGGGTGCTCTGCCTCCGGGCTGGGGCCCTGGCTGGACCTTGGAGGCTTGGGTTACCACCACGGTGCAGGGGAGGCATTCCCCCTCTGTCCCCTTATGGCCACTTGTGCCTCAATTTTATTCCACACATCCACATTATCACCCTCTCATAACACATACATATAGGGCCTTGGGAACGGGCACGTTATACAGCGTCCAGAGGATGGTCTGTGTATTCAATGTCACCTCGGGGCTGTGCTGACACCTGCTGTTCTCTGGCAGGAAGCACCATGCCCTCCCGTGTTCTAAATGCACTTTAGAACAACACGCAGCAACACTACACATCAGCAGGTGAAGGGATGTATGGGGTCTTCACACACCCCTGTTCTCTGCTAGCCATCAGGGCGGAGGGGCTGGGAGGAGGTGTTGACCGTCCGATTGGGGTCCCGGATGCGGGGCCTCCCTGCTGCTACGGAGCCGGGGGCGGTCTGCTTGTCTCCATCCCGGGGGAAAGGGTAACATCTCCTGGGTCTAGTTGCTTTCTACGGGCGAAGGTACCTGGACCCGGGGTATAGAGTATGTTTGGGGAGTGTGATTGTGTGTACAGTGTCCATTTGTGTCTGTCTTCCCGTTGGGTGAGTGCTGAGTATTCGTATATGTGTGCATGAGGGTGGGAATGCAGGTTTGTGTCTCTGTGTGCCTGTTCGTCTGTGTTTATATGTCAGGTCGGGTCTTAGACTGCACCTCTCTGGGAACATCTCAGGCCCTCCAAGGTATGGAGGCCTATCTATCCTCACCACACTGCCTGATGTGTTTCAGTGCGTTGGTGGTTCTTGGTGTCCGGGGCTGGGTGCTCAAGTATGTACCAGCTCACTCCCGGTGGCTGCGTGGCGGGGCCTGGTGCCCGTGGCTTGGTCGGACCTCTTCCGGAAAATAAAATAAATAAATAATAACACCAAAGGTCGATCAAATGGACCAATACAGCAAGGCTGTGATGATCCACTTGGTAAAGTAAATCTATTGGGTATCCTTGTTGGCCTTCAGACAATTTTGATGGCTAAAGAACCAAATAGGACAGTCAAAAACAAAAAAAACAAAGATGAAGGAAAAACTTGTAGTTTATCTGCAATAAGAGCTGATTTATGGTTACTGAATGCAGAGTGAGTGAATGAACAGTAAAGTATCATCAGCATATTGACATATTTACACCCACTCACAGGAAATAATGTCATGAGTAGAAAATGAAGTTCAGAAGCTGCAGGCTTGAGTTCCCTCTGCACTCTCTGCTCATTCAGACTTGGTGTTTGCTGTAAATTGATACAAAGAGTGAAATCAGCCACGCTGGGACTGCTCCGCAGGCTCGTGTTAATCGATCAGCTCATCTTACCAAAATCATTCTGACTCCAGAAATCTGATTACAATGCCACAGCAGATTACTTTTATCTGTTCTGTCCTCAGGGATCCTCAAATCAAAAGAATAAAAGACTCTCTGTGTCTCCACCCCCTCCAGGTCACCTGTCGCCCTCGGAAACGGACGGTGACATGCTGGGCTACGATCTGTACAGCTCGGCGCTCGCCGACATCCTGAGCGAGCCCACCATGCAGCCGCCCATCTGTGTGGGTCTGTACGCTCAGTGGGGCAGCGGCAAGTCCTTCCTGCTCAAGAAGCTGGAGGGTGAGTTCGTGTTCGCCACGCTCGCCAGGCTCACCACGCTCGTTACACTAAGGGTACACCTGGCCAACACGTACTGACACTCCTCTTTCTCCTCAGATGAGATGAAGACTTTTGCTGGGCAGCAGATTGAGCCGCTGTTTCAGTTCTCCTGGCTCGTTGTCTTCTTGTCCTTGCTGCTCTGTGGCTCCATCGCCATCATCCTCGGCTTCAGTGTGGACCCCAAGCTCGCCATGGCGGTCTCCCTCAGCCTGCTTGCCCTGCTTTACCTCTTCTTTGGTGAGAAACGCTTCGATGTTATGCCGCACGTTAACACATGACCTCCTGTACTGCCACCGGTGTTCACATAACCTTTTACATTCTGTAGTGGTGGTGTACTTTGGCGGCCGGAGGGAGGGAGATAACTGGACGTGGGCGTGGCTGCTGAGCACCCGCCTGGCGCGGCACATCGGGTACCTGGAGCTGCTGTTGAAGCTGATGTTCGTGAACCCGCCGGAGCTTCCGGAGCAGAGCACACGAGCGCTGCCCGTCAGGTAACGCCACCACATAGGGAGGTCATGATGTCACAGTAATGTCACGCTGATGTCATGATGATGTCACTTGTCTCCTGCAGGTTCCTGTTCACAGACTATAACCGGCTGTCCAGCGTTGGAGGAGAAACATCGATGGCCGAGATGATCGCCACGCTGTCGGACGCCTGCGAGCGAGAGTTCGGCTTCCTCGCCACACGACTCTTTAGAGTGTTTAAGACCGAGGAGACGCAAGGTATTGCATCACGTCCTGTCTGGCAGCCTGCGCTTCTTGAGGTCACCTGACCCAAGTCCAGTTTGGCTCAATCTCTTCTTCTTCGGTGCTCTCAGGTAAGAGGAAGTGGAAGAAGACATGCTGCGTGCCGTCCTTCATCCTCTTCACCGTCGTGCTGGCCTGTCTCGTCACCGGCATGGCGCTGTTGGCCGTCTTCAAGGTGGATGGCGAGAACCGGACAGTGAACGCGGTGCTGATCGCCATCGGCAGCGTGGTTGGCCTTGCTCTGCTGCTCAACTGCAGGACGTGGTGGCAGGTGACCGACTCGGTGCTGAACTCGCAGAGGAAGAGGCTCCACAGTGCCGCCAACAGGATGCACAAGCTGAAGAGCGAGGGCTTCATGAAGGTGAGGAGAGGACACAGTCTATGGAGCGGCGAGGGGGTCTCCTTGAGCCTGAGGGTCTTTAGTTTCAGTGTTTTTAATCCTCTGATGTCTCTGGTGGAGGGAAACAAGAGGCGGGGGCAAGGGTGTAGCTCAGGAGTCTTCCTGGTTCTGAATGAGCCCTTGAACGTAATTGGCTGGTTCTGCACACAGGAAAAAGCTTCATGTAGCTTGTGTGCTGTGGTGAACTTTCAGAATAAGAGCATGGGGGTGGTCATTTGAGTTTGTTAGTGTGAGCTCAGAGACTGAAGAGTCTGTCTGAGCTGAATTCTGATGCTTCTGCACACTTTCTCCTGCAGGTCCTGAAGCACGAGGTGGAGCTGATGGCAAGGATGGCGAAGACGATCGACGGGTTCACGCAGCACCAGACGAGGCTGGCGGTGGTCATTGATGGGCTGGACTCCTGCGAACAGGACAAAGTTCTGCAGATGCTCGACACGGTGAGACGCTCGCACGGCTTCATTCAGTCAGTGTTTTTAAAGATAACGGAGCAGAAGCATGGACACAGTCTGACCTCATCGTCATCTTTAACGCAAACGTTAGCTGTGACATCACAGCCTTAGTCAAGCTGAATCGTGTTTTCATTAGATGAATGTGATCAGTTGGAACAGCTCAGCTCTCATCACGTGGGTCAGATTTACTTTGAAAGGGCAGAAAGTTGCCTCAGATGGTCAGTGTGGGCATGTCCCTCCTGCAGGTGCGTGTGCTGTTCTCCAAAGGGCCCTTCATCTCCATCTTTGCCAGTGACCCGCACATCATCATCAAGGCCATCAACCAGAACCTGAACAGCGTCCTACGCGACTCCAACATCAACGGGCACGACTACATGAGGAACATCGTGCACCTGCCTGTCTTTCTCAACAGCAGGGGCCTCTCCAGCGCCAGGAAGATGTGCACTGCCACGCCCACCAACGGAGACGTCACCACCGCCGATGGTATCCACACACACAATGACTACGTTATACGAGACTTGCAGTTACATCGCTTTTTATCGTAGCCGATTAATGAAGCGTGCAGGTGACATCAGCAGCCTGTTGTCACATCCTTCTGCTGTCACGTGACCGCGTCTGCTCTGAAATCATGTTCGATGAAGTCTCACAGAGATTCACTCAGATTCAGTCTGGACCTGAAAATAAACCTTCGGTTTTATTTTTCTTACTAAGATAAAAGTATGAATTAGAGGAGCAGGAGTGCAGAGGCTATTCTGTAATCCTAGAATATCTGCACACATCATACTCACCTCTGTCTGTGGTTACAGAACGACATAATGTTTACATCTGTTTGTGTGTCAGCAGGGTGGCATGAGGAGCTAGACAGGAAGCTGTCTCAGCACAGTCTGGGAGAATTAACCAAGTTTGGCAGCAAGACGACGCTCAACCGTCGGGTGAGTGTGTGTGTCTGTGTGTGTGTGTGTGTGTGTTAATCTGATGACTTGTAGGTGGTCTCATGTTTCCTCTGATTGAATTAAATCCAGCTGCTTTTCAGGTTTTAATTTGAAAAGGGTGTGATGTGATTAGATGTGATCAGGTCCGTTTATTGACTGTGTCAATGAGCTGCTGTTTCTTGATTGACAGCTTGTGTAAATATACTCTATCCCTTGTGCGTGTGGTCATGTGACCTGTGTGGTGCACTTTGCAGGAAACGTACCGGCGCCGCCAGGTGCAGCGCTCGGTGACGCGTCAGATGTCGTTCGACCTGACGAAGCTGATGGTGACGGAGGATTGGTTCAGCGACATCAGCCCACAGACGATGAGGAGGCTGCTGAACATTGTCTCCGTCACAGGTGACCTCCATCACCTTCATTATTAGCAGGACACGGTCTGACTGCCGTCAGCCCGTCTGCCACTTCCTGCTGATCTTGTTGGTTCATTCCAGTATTTTTCATTAAAAAAACATTTTTATTATTATTATCATAATAATAATGCAGTTTTTAAACCCGCCTGCTCCTGTCCAGGCCGTCTGCTACGAGCCAATCAGATCAGCTTTAACTGGGACCGCCTGGCGTCGTGGATCAACCTGACGGAGCAGTGGCCCTACAGGACGTCCTGGCTCATCCTGTACCTGGAGGAGACCGACGGAGTCCCTGACCATGCCACGCTCAAGACCATCTATGAGAGGTCAGAGGTCACCCTCCCTCCACAGGTGTAAAACGACACTGCGTCAGCTGATCAGTGTGTCCTCTCTCCCTAAGAGTGTCTAAGAACATCCCAACCACAAAGGACGTGGAGCCGCTGCTGGAGATCGACGGAGACGTGCGCAGCTTCGAGGTCTTCCTGTCATCACGGACACCTGTCCTTACAGCGAGGGACATTCGCACCTTCCTGCCTTGCACCGTCAACCTGGACCCCAAACTCCGTGAAATCATTGCAGGTACGAGTACTGCTCAGTACTGCTGAAAATACTGCTCAGTGTATTGCTGACTGTACTTCCTGTTGCTCTCATGAGCGTGGCGTGATTTGATGACATCATCAGTTTGAGATTCCTCCACAGATGTTCGCGCTGCCCGTGAGCAGATGAACATGGGTGGAGTCACGTACCCACCCCTGCCCCTGCAGGAAGCTCAGCCCCGCCCCACATCAGTCTACAGTCAGGTGTCGTCGACGTGCTCGCCCTCTGCGTCCTTCACCGGGCCTTTCAACCCACCGGCGGGGGGCGTGGTCTCCCCGCCACCTCACAGCAGCTACTACAGCGGCATGGCCAGCACACAGCATCCCTTCTACAACAGAGTGAGTAAAGGCCCCGCCCCTGCCCACACCTCATGATGTCATTGAATCCTGTAGGTGGCTGAGCAGCAGGTAGCGTAGCGATGTCATCGGTTCACGTGACGACTGTCCCGCCTCAGTCCCTTTCATCGTTTGTGTTGTTTTGCTTGATTTGATTTCATTTCCTGTTTCACTGAATCCCTGCTGTCTCACACAGCCCACCGATCAGCTGACAGGCTGCCGTCCAGCTCCGTAGAGTAAAAGGAGTCGACAGAAAGCTTCACAGAGAGTTGAATAAAGTTCAACTTTCAGCTAGCTTCAGCTAATGATGATTTTTTTTATTTTGAATGCGTCAAAAGTTTTGACATCATAACAAAAAAAGCACAGAAATACAAACAGAAACGACAAAAAACACAAATGTTCATGAAACACATTGAAATAAAAATTCAAAGTTTCACATTCCTGTTTTATTCTTGTCAATTGTCTGCTGACGCTGACCGGGTGTCAGGCGGCAGGGATTCGCTCTTTGATTTGACAGGTTTTTTTATGTTTCATCACATCCACCGACATTATTTAAATTTTTCACCTCCTCCCCCTCAGCCATATTTTCCCCACCACCTTTACCAGCTGCCACGCCCACTCGTGGCTTCCTTCCCACCACACCTCCATCCACGACCACCTCCTAAAAGCTCCTTCAGCAGGGATGCCGCTGCTCCCGCCGCTCCTGTAAGTACGGCCGTAGCTGGAAGCTATGACTCAACATGAACGTTTTTAACAAGTTTCTATTTTTCTGATATTTCATCTTAAAATGTGAAAAAATAATGAAACTTGTCTGTTTTCAGTTTTTGAATCTGAAACTTAAAATGTTTAGTTTTATTACCTGGTGAAGAAGAAACATAAAATATTTTAGAATAAAATCTTTTCGAAACTCCGCCCACCAGATGTTTGTTTGCTCAGAGGTTTTCCTCTAGAAATCTAGAAAGAGTCTAAGTCAGAGTTTTAGTTTTCTTTGCTTGTGGTCTGTGAAGGCTCCTCTGTTTTCCCCTCTTTTACTGCTGCTGTTATTCTCCTCTTTGGTTTCTGGAAACACTGAACCAGTGGCGGTTTCTTAAAACTGTGCCTTCAGTAGAAATCATTGTGCTGTCCTGTCGTTCATCTGTGTTTCCTCATGTTTTCATCCCCAAACTGTCTGTCTGTCTGCAGTCTAAGAGTTCTTCTTTGAAAAGGAAGCAGGTATTTAACCTTACCTAACATGACCCTCCTTGTCTCTTTCCCTCCTTCCTTCCTGAAGTGTCCACAGCAAGCGTCCGCGTGTTTTGGTGTTGATCGCTCTCGTTCAGCCAGCTGACAAATCGGCCTCAGAAGTTTTCTGTGAGGTTCTCAAGGATGTTTCAGACACAACAGGTTCCCACAGGAACACTTGAAACATAACAAGTGACTTTTTATGAAATACTTCGCTTCACAACTGAGCATGCTCTGTTTTTATTTAAGGAGCAAAATTTCTGATTTGTAGTTACAGTGAAATGAAAAACAGATCCAAGCATGAACATGAGCCAGTGATTGAGCCGTGACCGATCTGAACTTCAGCCGGACTTGAGCCGGATGCTGTGGACCAAAGGAGGAAGTGTTCCAACCACTACAACCCCCCAGCATGCACCTTGCCTCTACTAGCATGTGGCTTCAAAAAGTAGTAGTGGCATAGATCAAAAATTTGTTGTTTGATCTATTCAGAAACTTTAACTTGACTTTTGACCCCTCACTGCTAACCCACACAGCTGCTCACCACCCCAAACTCCCCCAGCCCCACCTCTGCATGGTGAAAAAATGTCCTGACTGTGAGTTAAAGGTGCTCACAAAGCTTTAAAACATCTGTTGGACAGTAATTTTCTGTACGTCATTGGGGACATTTCTGTGTTTCAGGCCACGTTTCAGCAAAAAGTTATCTTAAAATTAAAAATTGGCCTAAAAGAAACAGATGAGTCCTGTGCTAGCTGTGCTAAGTCACGTGACATGGTTATCCAGATCCAGATAAACTGTACATCAGAGGTAGTACAAAACATGGACGTAGCTTCTGGGTCCAAAAAATAAAGCAGTCACGTGTGCCTTAAACTGTTTTGGATTTTATGGCCGCCAGGAGGTGACACTGTAAAATTTCTTCTGGTTCTATAGAAGTCTGTGGGATGACCTCTGACATTTATAAATACCTTCCTTATGTTGCTTAGTCTCTCATATCGGGTCAAAACAAGGTTATTCAATAAATTTTGGTCATTCTGAGCATGAGAGAAAATTTTCCAATTATGCATGATGATTTTCAGAGCTGCTGCTCTTCCTCACATCTGATTTCTAAAGACCAAGTTAACAGTGGTGAAGCTGATCAGTGGGCGATCTCACAGTGGCTACATCTGTCTTTTACATGTCTGTCAGGTGTACTTTTACCTGAGTTAGCGTTTATGTTTTTAGTCTGGTGGAGTCACTGAAGAGAAATGTTGAGCTAAAAGCATTAAGCTCAGGTTGAGACTTTAACCTGCCAGGATTTGGATGAAGTTTCTATTCATCTCACAGCTGGATGTCACATCTGAAAATAATGACATTTGTTATTAAAATCTAAAAAATGTTGGATATTTTTCCCTGGGAAATATATCTGTGTTCAGGGCTCCGCCTCCGTTGCGTCTGCCACTCCGCCCGTCCTCCTAAGCTCCATGACCACAGAGGCTGTCTGTGAGCGCGTGCGGCATATGGAAGGCATCGACCAGAGCATGATAGGACAGTACACCGCCACCATCAGGAAGGTCAGTGACACAACTTCACAGGAAAGCAGAAAGCCAGGGACCTGAGACTGAAATACAAATGTTTTTCATTTTCAGGCAAACGTTAACGGCAGAGTTCTGTCTCAGTGTAACATCGACGAGCTGAAGAAGGAAATGAACATGAACTTTGGAGACTGGCAGCTCTTCAGGGCAACGGTCAGTCCAGGCAGTGAATGCATTAATAATAATAATAATAATAAACTTTATTTATAAAGCACACTTAAAAACCAAGGTTATGCCAAGGTGCTTAACAAGTAAGATAGAGAATAGGTGGAGGATAATAGAAATAGGATCAAAGTAAGTACTAAGTATGCAAGCAGATAACTGCCACTGATACATAGGAAAGCAACAGGTACAGAGCAAACAAGAATTTAAATGAGCATAAAAGTGCATGATATAAAAGAAATATTAACTAGAGGGAAAGGTAAGATTGAATAAGTGGGTTTTTAATCGTGATTTGAACAGTGCAATGGAATCAGATGCGCGGAGGTCGAGAGGAAGGGTGTTCCACAGTACCGGGGCAGCCAGAGCAAGCGCACGGTCACCCCGGGACTTCAGTCGAGATCTGGGTTGGGTCAGAAGTAGTTGAGTGGCAGATCTGAGTGTTCTAGCAGGAGTATGTGGTTTGAGAAGTTCACTAAGATAACTTGGCGCTAATTTATTAATAGTTTTGAAAGTAAGGAGTAATATTTTAAATTGAATACGGTACTTTATGGGCAGCCAATGCAGGCTAGCTAGGACAGGAGTAATATGGCAAAATTTCCTGGTACCAGTCAAAAGGCGGGCTGCTGCATTTTGGACTGTTTGCAGTCTAAGAAGAAGAGAAGAGGGAAGACCGTAGTACCAAGAGTTACAATAATCCAACCTGGAGGTCACAAAAGCGTGAATAAGCTTCTCCAGGTCCTCATAATGCCTAGCCTTAGAGATAAGGCGCAGTTGGTGGAAGCTAGATCTCACTACAGCAGACACTTGCTTATCGAGTTTGAGCGAGCTATCCAGCAGTACACCCAAGTTACTGACATAGTCACAAGAAAAGCTAGCAAAGGAACCCAGGGCAGCACAGAGTTGGGCACGAGGGATATTACTGTTGAACACCACAATCTCAGTCTTCTTATCGTTTAAAACGAGGGAATTACTCAGGAACCATTCTTTGACCTCCCGCATGCATTCTTGAAAGTAGTGCAGGGACACAGCAAGGTCGTCAGTAAGTTCAAAATAGATCTGTATGTCATCGGCATAACAGTGGAAGGCGATATTGTATTTTTCAAAGATTGCGTCTAGAGGGAGCAAATACAATGAGAAGAGAATAGGGCCTAAAACTGATCCTTGAGGCACACCACAACAGACCGGAGCGGAGGAAGAGGAGAAGGTGCCTAAGTGAACTGATAAGGATCTATCAGCGAGGTATGATTTAAACCAGTCGAGGGCAGTGCCTCTAATACCCAGTGTGCTCAAGTCTTAGTAATAAAATGTTATGGTCCACCGTATCAAAGGCCGAAGAGAGGTCCAGTAAAACTAGGACCATAGAGCGTCACTAATGCTAAGAATATCATTAGCATTACTGACTAATAGCGTAAAATTATCTCCATATAGGTGAATTTTCTAAAACAGAAACCCTGTAGCAGTGGAAAACCAAAAAATTGGGGTTTATTAAAACAGTTTTCAGTGACCTGCAGCAGCTTTTGGGTTCATTTCCACATAAAACACATCTTGGTTTACTGCTATGTAATGACTTAAAATAAGATCCACCTCCTCCTTCCTGCTGAAGGTTTTGGACATGCGTCACATTGAGAGCCAGGTGCTACATGAGGAAACTGCCAGCGAGCAAGGTAGCGTCATTGGCGGTCACATCGAGCCAGTAAGGCGAGTGATGGCTCCACCCCACGCTGGCGCCCCGAACACGGATGCATCACCAATGTACAGCTTCAACCTGAGCTTCGAGGAGCTGAGTACGGTGGGACTGGATGACCCGCAGCGACACGGAAACATGCCGTGGATGGTAACTATAGAACATGTGATCTGTGATGTCAGATGTGAGGGGTCTGATGCTGAAGAATGTTGTTTTCTGTCTGTCTTCAGGGTGGCGCTCACAGAACCGCCAGCATGACCAGTCTGAACTCGCAGGAGTCCTCCAATGACATCTCCAAGCTGACGGACAAGCAGCAGGCAGAGTACCGCGATGCCTACCAGGAATACATCGCCCAGATGGCCCAGCTGGAGTTGGGCGTCATCACTGGGGAGAAGCCCATCCAACCACAACCGGGACAGTTCATGACATCATCATCTGAGGATAAGAGCAAGGATGGCACCGAGCAGGATGGACGCAAATCCTTCAACAAGAGGAGCAGCAGCAAACCGGCAGCGGACAACACTGACTTTGCTTCCAATGGTGAGGCGCTAGATCCCATCAGAGAAGAAGACGAGAAGGGTGACCACGGGTCTTCCAAGTCAGTGCTCACCCGCAAGTCCTCAGCTGAAAGAGGCGGGCTGTTCCAGGGCGCTGCTGATCTCAAGCTGAAGGCCAGTGGTGGGTTGCGCTACCAGAAGCTGACCAGCGATGACGAGGAGTCTGAAGAGTCGGATCACGCCCCCCTGCTGAAAGATGGCAAGAAGGTGGTGGACCCCAAACTGCCCGGCGGTTCACTGGCGCTGAAAGGGAAGGACTACCTCTCTGATGCCATGCTGGACAAGAAAGACTCGTCTGACTCTGGCGTGAGGTCCAATGAGAGCTCGCCCAACCACTCGCTGCAGGACGAGGAGGCGGACCTGTCGCAGCTGGACAGGGCCAACCTGATTGAGCTGAATGAAGAGAGCCTAGCCCGGAAGCGTGGCCTTCCCAGCAGCCTCAGCGGCCTGCAGGACCCGGCGGTGGCGCGCATGTCCATCTGCTCCGAGGATCAGTGCAGCCTGCTGGCGAGCAGCCCGGAGGAGAGTTGGCCGTCGTCCAGGAGCTACAACCTGAACCGCACGCCAAGCAATGTCACCCTCAACAACAACACCAATGCCCAGCAGGCCAACCGCGCCCGCCAGCCCCCAGAGGGCTCCACCTCCTCCAACCCCTCCTCCTCCACCTCCTCCACCAGCGAGGTCATCATCCCCCCGAGCTCCGGGACCACCACAACCACCACAACTTCTACTCGGCCGGGGCCAAACAACGAGAACGTCAGAGTGGTTCACTTGAAGCGTGGCCTGAAGCCCGGAGACCCGCCGGAGATCTGCACTGTGTCCTCCGACACTGTCACCTTCGGCGAGGAGCGTGAGAGCATCCTGTGACCTCACAGCGAGGAGGGGAAGAGCGCCAAGGGTCCACTGAGAGTCGCCTTTCAACTTCTGCAACCAATCAGGACTCTAGAATGGTTTGACGAGTTTGACGAAGAAAAAAAACATTTGATCAGTGAAAAAGAAAAAAAGCTCAATTTGACTGAAAAATTATCAAAAATCTGAAATTAGGAAGAAAAAATATGTTTAGAAGTTTTGGACTTTAAATCTGAGCAGAAGAAGAAGAGTGGCTGCTGGAGGACCTCAATTTCAGTGTTAATGGTAGATGTTTGTGCATGCTCACCTGTAGTCCGTAGGTAACATGAAGCTTCGTAGAGACGTAACGTGAAGCTGCTGCATGTCGTTATTGTCCTGCTCTGATGTGATTGGGCGCTTCCGGCCTGTTTACATCGTGACAGAGTTCATTATTGATGCTTATCGTTCACGCCCCTGAAAGCGATCGCCACTGACATCGCATCCAATTGCTTAACAGCGAGAGAGGTGACTTCCTGCTGTCAGAACACCACAAACTAATTGGCCAATTAGAGACAGACACCTAACCTATTTAGGGTCAAACCAGCCAATGGGAATGATCTGGTGTTTCATCAGTTAGAGCAAGGTTTCCATGGTGATACAAATCACCAGCTTCCTGTGAGTCCAGAAACATCAGCAGAGCTTCCTGATTGTTTAGTAGAATATCCTTCAAGGACCAATCAGGAGAAAGAGTTGGAACAACACCTGCTCTAACTGATCAAACAGTGAACTAGCACCCTGAGAAATTACCTGGACAGGTGAGCGCAGACTTCCACTTCGCCCCCTGGTGATATTCAGCATTACAAATGGGTTATTTACCCATTGCTGAGGTGTACTGCAGTCAGTTATAATCAGAAAAAAACCTTGTTAACTATTTTGCAATGATCTTCGTGAACGAGTATTTAATCGGCTTTTTGTGTTTGGTGTCACACTGACGTGGTGCTCTTACAGTGAAGTGAATCTGTGATCATGTCGTTTGGTCTGAAAATCTTTGAAATCATGGATGAGTTTAACGTCCTCCAATCATCAGGAAAAAAATTCTGACCAATCAGCAGTGAACGTGAGCTTTGTCGGACATTTATGAACGACAGGAAATGAAAATGAAGATACCAAAATTATCCAGATATCTTAAGATTTCAGAATAAAATAACAAAAATAAATGTTTCCTTCAAAATAAATAATGAATAATATAGCTGTTTTCAGTGTTAGATTCTAAAAGCATGTTTCTGTAACGCTGTCGTTTGTGTCTCGCGCTCTCAGTGATCATGTGACCTGTCTCAGGACGAAGTTAATGGAAAAAATGTTTCTGTGAACTAAAAATAAAAAACCTGCATGTTGAAAGTATCAGAGTACATTTATTGAACAATGAACACAGTAGTGAGCATTTTAAATAAATAAATATTTTATTTTGTTCTGAACACTTTTTAGGAACTTTTACAGGAAATTGGACATAAAGAAGCAAAAACAAATATTTACAGTTTCTAAAAGACATTTTTTATTTTTGTGTGTTTATTTTTTTATTTCAGTATTTCATTTGGATTTTTTAACTTTTGGCCTTCCTTAGTTTAAAGGGAAAAATCCAAAAACTTATGCTAGGTTTCTTATTTTCATTTTACAGACCCTATACTTTTTTCATTTGAGTGGAAAAATATTTTTATTAGAATTAATGTTTAAAAATATTTTCATAAACTATTTACATTTCAATATTTTAAAAGTTTCAGCCGTTAATGGACAAAATGTCTGTCCCCACGAGTTTGAAGACATGTCTGAGACTCAAAATATGGTTTTAGTGTCAGGGTTACAGTTAGGTTAAGGTTAGGTTTAAGCTCAGGGTTAGAATTGGGCATTCATGTTGACTGTTAGGGTTAGTGCATAGGGGAAGTATTATCTCAATTAGATGTCCCCACAAAGATATAAAAACAAGTGTGTGTGTGTGTGTGTCCTGGTTTGGATGTTCCAGCTGGATCGGAATGCTGTTACCATGGGTGATAAGATGCCAAACATCTGCCTCTCCTGCAATCACATGACTCTGATCCGCCTGGACTATAGCAGGAAACAGCAACAATGAAACATGGTAAACATGTTGATGGTGAAGATGTGATGATGATGAAGGCTGTTCGTCCTTTGTCTGTGGAGCTGAAGGATAATTAAAGTTTTTAACAGTGCTTTATTTAAAACTGCAGTTCATCAGACAGTCTGAAGCTGATTAAATGTTAAATCAGAGACGTGTCAGCAGGGGGCAGAATTTGCTGCCATCACATAATTCCCACAGTGCTGAGCGGCCCATTGGATTGTGACACAGACCTGTTTTGACCTTTTATAAATGCCTCAGAGTCTGTCAGACACATGCAGGGGAGGGGGGATGTGAAGGAGATTTGAGCACCCGCCCTTTCAAACATCTCTGCACGGCCCTGGAGTCTGTACTGATACATCTCTGGGGCATGACTAGCATAGACTGCTAACTATTGTAACTATGGCGACGCTCCATGATCTGCCATTATTGCAAAAAATGGTCCACAGGAGTGACTGGAATGACACAACTCTCCCCTTCATTGACTCTAATTTGAGCCAACCAGGTAAAAGTGAGGGTATGATGTGAAATGTAGGAATGAACTGAACCAAATGAGCCTGCTGATGTTCATCAATTACTTGCTGTGAGGAAATAAATCTGTTGATGTCTCCACTTCACAAACAAATAAGCAAACAAACATTTGTGGCAAACAAATCTAAACCATTAGGATAATTTTAAAAAGTTGGACTTTAAAGACTTTATTTTCTTCACATATTTAATTTGACTTCTTTGGACTTCTTAAATTCAGATTTATATTTGGATTTAATTGGATTGGAGATATATATATATATATATATATATATATATATATATATATATATATATATATATACACATAAATTTCACTTTTTATTTCTAAATGCTGACTTTGTTCAATAATGTATTTTTTCTTCATTTACAATTTTTTTGACTTGTGAAGTTTCTTCTTCAGCTGCTCTTTTCTGAAACTGCAGGAGCAGAGTGGAAGATGGGAGTTGTTGTCCAGCAGGTGCCACAGATGAGCTGTTTGAAGATATTTGTTTTATTTAATTAAGTTTTATTTTGTATTCTTTTATTTTTTGAGTTATTGTTGTTAATTTATCAAACATCACAAATGTAAACACAGCTGATCAGTCAGTTGACGCTTAGATGTCCTCAATCAACTTCAAAGAAGGTTAAAAGCATGATGGGAAATGTAGGAAGAAGTCTGGGTGACTTTGTCTGTGAAGGTTCTCAGTCATCCAGGTCATTGTAGTCAGTGATGGAGGAAAGAAAAGTGTCTGGACTTCTTTAAGTTGCTTGAAGACGTTTCACCTCTTATTTGAAAAAGCTTCTCGGATGAGAGGTGAAATGTCTTCAAGCAACTTAAAGAAGTCCAGATGCTTTTAAAACATGAAGCTCAAAAATGCACGTCAGTGAATGCATTGCTATGCAGATGAACTTGATGGCAGTCCCTGTGGGGTGTCAGTGAATGCATCGCGGCTGCTGTTCTGATGTTTCAGATAAAAGCGAGTGGTTGATAAGAGTGCGATTTCACGCTCCGGTGAAAATATGCAAACACAGCAGAGGAAGCCAATCAGAGCTGGGATCAGATCCCAGATGTTCGCCTCCACAACTCACCAGACACAAGGCCACACCTGCCAGCCTGACAGGGGCGCTGCAGTCACTGTGGTCTGTGATGGTACCGGCGTCGGCTCCTATGTGTTTGTTTCTCTTCATGTTTTACTGGTTACTTTTCGTTTGTCTCTGCTGTTCTTGCTTCAGACGTCAGTGATAAAAAAAACCTCCAGGCTGAATTTCATTAAACTTTTTGAGGAGGTGGAGTCGGCCCAAGGAAGACGAGCTTTACCTTTGATTTCACAAAGCTCTGATTTTTGCAGGAGAGGCGACACGTCTTCAAGAAACCTAAAGAAGTCTAGTTGGTTTTCTTTCAAGCTCCTTATACAATATTTATTTTGTGGTTAATTACTCACATGTTTGTTGGGAAGAGACAGTGTTTCTGGTGCCGACCTGCTTCACTGATCTATTATTGATATGATTCACTGCTCAGCCTCTCGGACTTTTGCTTCTTTCTGCTGCTAAAAGCACATTTTTAAATATATTTTTACTTCCCCAATGACCTCGTCCTCTCATTACCCAGAATGCCGCTGTGTTGGCCTCAATTATCCAGAGCAGAACCTTCAGATTTATCAGGCCGGTGGGGATCCGGCTGCCTTTAATCTGCTGCCAAACATCTGATCAGAGAGTAGTGGGGATAGAGAGGTGAGCAGTCTGACTGTTTCCTCTGATTTGACCATGAGCAGCGACATGCGCTGAAGTCAGCTCACTCCAAATCCCAGACGTTTCCCGACCTCTGTGATGTATGCACAGGTGAAAACCAAGGAGGATCTTCTCTAACAACCTAGAGGTGAAGGAAAGTATACTGCTCTCTGATTGACTGTTTATCAGGCCTTGATGTCAGAGTTAACAACCAGCAAACAACTGAACAAAGACAAACTATGCTCTGCAAACAACAGCCAATCAAAACCAACCTTCTCAGAAAAGACACCAGTAAGGTGTCTGAAATCTGTGGTACTCTTGACCTTAGACATTACTGCACATAACACAATAATGTATCTGATACACTTGTGTCGTCACCATTATCATCATTATGTTGGTTCAGGATCAACACTGCTGACCAGTGGAGAAAATGTGGAGAAAAAAAGAAAACGATGGCTTGGTTTGTATGAAACTCAAAAGTGTTTTCTTTATTAATTTCTACAATATAACAAATAAAGTACCAAGCTGTTAACATTTGAGTGTTTGTGGATGTGAGTGGAAGAGTAATCTGCAGAGAACCTTAAAACTGGGCCAAACCGACCAGTGCGTGCAGTTTTTATGATCTTTCGAGCGTTGGCTTTAAAGTTATAGGGTGGTACTAGCTAAAATAACTGTCCAGAGGCATTACCATAATGTGTGACAAGACACACACACACCTGGTTAGCAGGTATTGAGCTCTCCATTTGCCATCTAAGCAAACTCCATCTTCATCCCTCCTCCTCTGTATATTTACTGATAACACATTTTCACAGTGCGTAATAAAAGCATGAACATGTTGCTGCTTAGGTCAGGCCAGTCCTCTAAAACAGGTTTGAATATAGATCATTGGGACTTCCTGCTTAAATAGAGGTTAGATAAAGGTCCATGTAAGGTCATCATTTTGAGACAGAGCTTTTTAGAAGTTCAGACCAAACATCAATAGGAGTTGGAAAAAGAACAAAAGCTGCAGTTCCTCTAGCGTCTAGCAGAGGTAGCAGTGAGTCAGTCAGTAGAAATAAATATGTTTCCACCTGATACAAAAACTCTTTTGGTATCTATAGCTAATTTAAAAATTCCGTTATTAGGGGTGTGGTCTCTGTGACGGACAGGTGAATGGTTATACAGGTGGCTGTAGCTGCTAGCTGTCTGCTAATTTCACCTGGACTAGACCTCTGGCCCATGTTTGTGCTGTTGGAGCCTTTTTGAACATTTTAATGACATCATGTGACCAATAATATGATTGCTGTGAGGTCATTGTACTAACAGATGGTCCAAGAAGACAGTACTCCAGTTTTGCATCTGATGGTACCAAACAGTCTCTGGCTGTAGTACAATAATCAAGAGTTGGCTGATAACAGACTGTCCTTTTTATTTTTTAAATAATTTTTTAAAAATAAAAAAAAAAAATGATAAGACTGTCCACAGGCCAGTGAGTTGTGCTGTAGCGGCCATGTTTGTATAACATCTTTGGGACTGTTTAAGGGTCCTGGGAATACTGTAGGTCAGAGAAGGTCCTGTTTTTAAAGCTGCGTGAGGAAAAACCCTCACAGTGCCTCCGATGATGTCACTTTCTCTTTTCTGACTCCTTAAAAATCTTAACTTCTTGACTCTTTCATGATCAGTTTTGAAGTCCACTGATTGTTAACATGAGTCATGTGACCACTGAAAACATCATGCCCTGCTCTGCCTTGCTCTGATAAACTGGGAGGACTAGTTCACACTCTGGAAACGCCAGAAGAGGTCAGACATCACTGGGGTCATCAAAGTGTGGAAGCTTAATCTCATTTAATGTGATGCATGCCTGCAAACAGCCTCAGAAACACCAGACGTGAAAAAAATAAAGTTTCACTTACACAGACAGGCTTCAGATGTCTCAGGTGCAATTATGCTGTCCAGCTGAAACATATGGAAGAATCTATATATAGATATCTCTCTCTCTCTCTCTATCGTGTGATTAAAAATTTAAATCTCAAGAAATTCTAAATGATCACAGCAT